CTGAATGCCATGACAAAATTAAAAACTTCTGCACAGTTTTTTCTTTATCTAGACACATTTTCAAAAAATTAAACATTTTAAATTCATTTTGTAGAAGATCTTCAGAACGTGTGTTAGTATTTTTAAAGGTATTTGCTTTCCATTGCATTATGTGCTATTTTCGGTATACAGTTACCATAATCCATAGGGAAAATGGACTCATAAATCACACTAAGTAATTTGCTGCTCACCAGCACTGTCTTCCTTAACATCCACTAAAAAAGATTAAAATTGTGCAAGAAAAATCTTTACAGTGAAGTTGCTGATGTAGCTTTATTCCTGTCTTACTAGCAAATATATTTCCATTAATAATCCCCCCATGAGTTAATTACCTGTGAAAAAGATGTACGTTGAACCTGTTTTAGTCTCATCCTTCCTGCATTTGTTACCATTGCACAGCTGAAGCCAGCAGCTATATTCACCTGTGTCTGCTGCAGTGGAGTTTGCGAGGATCAGCTGACTGTACCTGTCAAGCTGCTTTATACTGGGGAGAAGAAAAACAAAAGGCACAGACAAGCAGATGTACTCCTTGTACATTTCTGTCAGCTCACTTCTACTTTTGATTTTTTTTTTATTCCTACTATTCCTAATTGACCCACCTTTTGCTTTCAGAGCTATGTTGCAACTTCTCCTTTCGCTTCAGCAAAGGCCTGCTTACATGAGTAGTTTTATTGATTTCAACTACACACGAGCGCTTGCAAGCTTTTGTCTTGTACAATTCATTCTTGGATTCCTGTCAGTCCTCATTTTGAAACTGGGCTGTGACTGCTGTAGACAATATGTTCATCTATGTTTTGTCCTAGTTTGTCCATGTATATCCTGTATTTTCATGCTCCAAGTCAACCTGCACGCATCTCAGTCCTTTTTTGATACCATTAACTGTAGCACTGCTTCAATAGTATATAACAAAGATAATTCAGGAGTAGTAAATAGCAAGTACTTTAATAAGCGTTGATGATTCATGCCTGCTTTCAGTGTGAATGCTTCCCCATCTTTAACATACTGGTCCAAGTTTCCACTTGCAAACACCATCATAAAGAGCTTCTAACTCAGCTTGGATTTGCTCTGCAAGTAAGTCATTTTGCTTTGCCTACTCCTCTGCCCTAAGCCACCTCACCAGCATCCTCTCACCAGAGTTTCCTCATCACCCCTTGGCTATTTCAGACCACGACCTGAGAATTGCTGGAGGTATACTGGCAGCGTCATCACGTAACTACACAAAATCCAGTCTGTGTCAATATTTCAGATTTGACTTGCTTTATTCTGCTTCTCCTGAATTTCCCAGATACATCTCTCAGTGGATTGACATTTGTAAATGTGCAAATATTTATAAATACATACATATATATGTAGACACTGACAATGTTTCTTAGCGTGAAAGGTCTTATCTATGAAATTCAGGAGCTATACAATCTCATCTTGTTCTTTTTTTATTTTTAAGGTTTGCTTTTCCAGCTCCTTCCTGCAGAGAGACAGTGTTATAGTTGGCAGTCTGATGAGTTGCCTTTTGATGGATTGCAGAAGCAATGGTCCAACAGTACCCGTTCTCGGGGAATGCTGTCAGGACAGCCATGTGGCAGTACTGATGCACTCCACTGCTGCTCTGACCCTTAAAAACCTTATTTTCAACCACCTGCCTTTACACAGTAGCACATCCAGAGCACGAAGGTTTCCTGCTTTCCTTTGCAAGGCATCGAGTTACAAGGTCATTTCTGTTCTAACCAAGTCAAGAGGGATTTTTCTAGTTTTAGGCATTTGATAGTGAACTTCTTTTCAGCGTTTCAAACAGGGTCTGGACAAATGCGCAGCTTGCATGAAGTCTGAACAGCTCCCACACTCTTACTCAACTGTGAGTTCTCTGAATATTTATTATCCTCCTATTTCTTCTCATTAATGTGGCAGTTATTCTGTAAGGCAGATGCTTGAGTGAATCATTTTATTTCTGGGATTAGCATGCTTTGAAGAAATTCTTATCCTCTAAAACACCTTGTCACTCTGTAACAGCGGTACTATAGACATGCCTGACTGTACTGTACACTCCAAATGCTGTGTTTTGCTTACATCTCCATTGCAGGCAGAATAACTGCTTGAACGAAGAGGCTACTACTTCCAGCTACACACACTTCCTGAAATTTCTGACTCCCTAGGTGTTCTACTGGCAGTTTGCACTACTACCAGTAATCATGTAACCCAGCATTCAGCCTCCAGCCAAGGCCAGTAGCTTAGAAAATAAAAACACATCAAATACACAACCCAGATAGGGCTAACTGAGAATTATCTTTTCCATTAAAGCCCTCAGACACCATTAGTACGCTCATCCATCGTGGGACAGTTTTGAGGCTTGCCTAAGGAAACAGGCAAATCCTTTTCCTACCCACTAATGTGCTTGTCCTACACATTGGAATCATGTAATTATGGAGTAGTAGCATTTTCATTTTTCATATATACACTACCTTACATTACAAATTATCTTCAGTTTTTGGATAAGCTTTGAGACATTCCTATTCATGCAAGCAATCCTGTCATGTATCATATCAACACGAAGAAAAGAGAAATCCAAAACATGCCCTAGGCTGTACTATTGTTATTATTTAGTTTCACAGTTCACATTTCATAGGCTACATGACTACATCAGCATAAAATGTTTTGCAAGTATCCAGTACTAAATGTCAACATTACAGAGAAACTATTATGCCAGAGAACATTTTTGCCTCCAACCGTTAATGCAGACACTGAACTATAGCTCAAAATCCCAACAGACAGAAAAATAAGGTCAGAGTTAATTAATTATTGTACAGCGTGTTCTACTTAACTGAGAACAAGCTATCCAGTAATCAATGGAAATAGCCTAGTGAGATAGTCATCCGCAAACATGCACTAACAAAACCTGGCAACGGCGAGTGGAAGGGTTGAAACTTACGATACTACAATATTAAGCAGACAGAACACGCCATACAGAGCAAATTATAAATGGTAAATCCTGCAGCTGACCAATATTTCCAGGATAACTTTTATTTTATTAGTATTTTAGATGCTGGGAAATCTGACCTAAAAGCCAACTTTGCTGTTCTCTGCATATCACAACGTAAAAATGCTGTATACATGAACATTTTGAGACTATTTAAAAACTACTCCAAAATCTTATTCCATACATTCATCTTATTAACCTTTAGTTATTTGAAGTTCAAAAGATCTTTGCCAGAAAAACTATGCCAAGTTCAGAAGCTTAAAAAAAAAGAAAAATATAAAAAGAAAGACAGTGTACATAGCACCACTCAAAGAGCATCTAGCAAACTCCTCTCCAGCAGCTGCATTCTTACTGACAAAAGAGAGCTTATCTCAAATACAAGCTCACCAGGAGAGGAACATAACTTCTTCCTGTTTAACACAAGAAAAAAAATCCCTACCTTTCAGACTTCAGAGCACATGGAACAAAATGAAATTCAGCTATACACGAGTGTCACTAAGCCAGCAGGAGCCTGCATTCACTGAAAGCAGTCTAATTTTGCCCTCTACAACATACAGTTTCCTCAATACTTGTGAGAGTGCTCCTGTCCATATTTTATTTACCAGGTCATAAAGTATATCTACAAAAACAAACTCAAAGAAAGCATAGCCAATAATACTACAGAAATGGCTTTTCTAATTATCATCTCTTCCTTCTTAAGAAAGTCACATTGTCCTCCAGACTGCTGTATTCTCCTTACCATATGGGTGAATTAAAAATGTGACAAGCATGCCATGGAGACAAAACATCTGGCTTTGATTGCCACTTCTTTTTGCAACCACCCTTAGGAAATAAGTTACATAGATGCTAAATTTAACTAGTTGCAAACCAAAACACCCTCTTCTCCCAGAACTACAGACAGGAAACAGAGCACAGTGAGCATGCAACTTCAGAGTCAGCTCCTGCCCTGGACTTCTGCTGTTAACAAACCCTCTGACCAAATGAGCTACAAATGCCCTCACCGCCCTGAACCTTACGGTCTCTTTTGCCTCCTATAATTGCAATTCCATTAGATGCCAGGGTCCTTAAATCCTCCTCTTGTAGCAGCTAGAGTTAGAGGATGTTAGCAGTTCCCAGATGTAAAACACCTTGCTTATTGTTAAAATTCCCACCAGACCATTTGAATTTGTACACCCCTCCTATTACTTTAAGAAAAAAACAGGAATTAGATGTCTGAGCATCTGTTGATGTAGGGATGTACAAATGAACAAAAGAATGGTAGTCATTAATCCCCAGCAATTGCATGGACCTCATCGCCATTGCTCCTCCTCCTCACTTATCCTCCAGGCCCAGCAACCCGCTCCTTCTTCACTTTCCATTACCTCCTCAGACCCCAATCACTTCCCCCTGCTGCTGCCACCAACTCTGGTTTGCACCAGTGCCCCAACTCCAGCAGGACCAGCATGGAAATCCAAGATAAAAAAAGCCCAGCCCAGTTAATAAGCTGTTTTCACTCCCACACCTCACTAACTGCTAATGAAGGGATTATCTTACACTTGGTCAAAAAAATGTCAGAAGATACTGGACATATGTCTATCTAGATGATTAAACATTTTTTGCTGCAGGTTATTTGCTAATAATTTTTCTGCTTTCTTCCCCTTTGCCCTATATTCAGCATTTTGTTTTAAAATAATGAGTGTAATATATCTGTAAAATTTTAAGATTTGGCTACTGCAGCTGGTGCTTGATGCATGCTTTTGTATGCCACGAGGAAGATCTAAGCTCCTCTTGAAAGGTGATAATTGTCAATAACCTTTTCTGCTGCCTGTTCACTGACAAACTCTACCAACTGAGCTAAGTAACATGCTATCTTTATGATATTTCCAGTTAAATTCAAAGCTTTCTAAAACCACAGAATATAAATTTCATATTTCACATTCTAAAAGTAGACTTTGCTGTAGCGCTAATAGATGCATATGAAACAAAGATCTTGAGATAACTACCAAAGTCATGCTAAAAATATGATGAAAATATAACTGCACAAGATTCGGTTGTCAACATCTCCATAAATTACTATCCTGTGTCTCTGAAGTGTGCTACAAATCTGTTTTCAATTTCTCTAGTTAATTATAGGATCTTCTGCTTACATTTAAAATTGTTGATTCAGTCTAACGCAGCCTTGCTGCTTCAAGAACTTATTTCAAAATATTTTTTCTAAAGCAAAGTTCATCATATTTCAACATAGACCCTTACATATAAGCCTAACATACTTCTAAAAGAAAATAAATACTTAAGTTATATCCACCTAGCCAAAATGTTTTATAGTATTTGTTTTGTGTCACATTATTAACTTTTGTTATATAGTTAAAATATTACAAATACTGTGAACTTGAGTGAGAACAGAAAGGCAACAGACTCCCAAACTACTTCAAACTACAAAGTGCCAAACTACACAATTAGGAAATGCATATTTTTTTTCCCCAAACTACCTTAAATTCCTGTATTTTGTCCCATATGCATCACTAGAAAAATACTTAATTTTGCAAGAGAGGAACAGACAGTCAAACAAATAATCAAGCAGCATTCACATTCCTCTCCAAAAAGTGTGAAAACTTGCCTTGCCTTCTTCAATGCCAGATGCTAATACTCAGACAACATGACTTGAAGGTCTACAGGACCAAATCATGCCAGCAACCTATTCGCAAATGCACAAAACATGAGATACACTTGAAAACAACAACTATCACCACACACACACGCTCCCTGTTGATATTATTTTGCACAATCAGCTTTGTCTTGCTGAAGGGCCAGGTCTGTATTGCAGCTGATACACGCCACCTACTGGAATAAATCCAGATAAAACATTATTTCTTGCAAAAGAAAAAGCAGTAGTTGTTTAAATCAACCACAAGATCTTTTGAGAGATACTGCTGCGATAAGCCCTCTGCAGAAATAGGCTTGCTGCTGTAACTTACTATGACAGAAGCCTTGCACTAGCTACAGAGGCTTATTCAGCCAGTGCAGTTCTTGAACTCCTCAGGACAAGCAAATAAACATTCAGAGAAGAACTGGCTCACAAATTTCGGGATATGCTAGAGATCACAGTGTGTAACCGCCAATCTTCACCATTCCTCTTTGAAAAGAGATGTGAAAAGGAGAAGAATATATCTGAAAAATTAATTAACTGGGAGTGATTTTAAGGTAGCATCATACCTGTAAATAAGTGAAATGGATCACAAAGATTCAGATAATCTCAGTTATTTTCAGAGAGCATACCCACTTGTACTTAATTTAGTAACAAAAGGACAATAGGAGCTGATACCTTTGCTCACACCTCTGTGCCTCTCTCACCTAATAATACAAGAAAAGCTCCTGACAGCTCACTCTTAGGGCATTGCTCCACAGCCTCCTCGCCACTTGTCTTTCATAGACACATACATCTCCGTAAAACAGCCAGTGAAAACAAACACTACTCACAGCCAAGAAAATGTGTGTGGAAGACATCCTTGAGCTCCTTATATGCCCCTCCTTTTTCAAATACAGAACTAAATTACTACATTTAATCTACATTTAGCTATGTGTACTATCCTCAAAAACTGGGAAGGCAAACAAATGTGTGGGGTTTTGGAGATGTTTACAGCAACAGGACACTCACCTGGTGGGAGAGTGTCCTGAGCTCCTCTTCCTGCTCTAACTACTTATGCAGTTTCCATTAAGATGGCACTAAATGAAAGAAAAAGCCTTCCTAAACCCAAGGTGACTATCCTCAGCACTAAACTCCACCACACCACAAACCTTGCAATTCTCTTTTGCACACAAAGGTAACTTTGCCTGAAAAAGTCAAGACTTCTCTTACTTGCTCCTTAGCATGACAGTTGGTGTAATTTTTTGCTAGTTGAGAGATGTGGGTTTGAGCCTCTTCAGGAAATTAATCGTAGTGTCTCAGGTGGCAGCTACGCTAGCAACCAGTACAGCCCACCAGGAGCAGGTCTCTGTAGAGCAACAGAGTTGGTAGTGAGTACCTGACATCCACACTCACATATTTTGAGAGCTTTACTTCAGACTAGCTCTAATGTGGTTCCCTGTTAGTGGCTGGAGCACACTGGTGTCCCGCTGGATCACATCTTCTATTTTAGATTCATCTGAAGAAAATTCAGTTCACGTGCTACAAGACTATTTCACAGTGGAAATCACAGGGCAGTAATTGGTGACGACTGAAAGATACTCATCCTTTTTTGTTAACATTAGAAACCACTAGGTGGAACATCTTGATTGCAAAAATGTAAACAAGCAAACAAACAAAAAACCCAATGGTGTTGAAAGTGGTAGGGAAAAAAGTTCTGGATTTTTTTTTCCAAAAACAATTAAAAATAGCTTACCTGAGTCTGGAGTCTTTAAAGGTGTCCAAGTATGAAGGATAGTTCCAAGTAACATTACTCCCCTTACATCGCAGTTCTATGCTTTGTCCTGCAGACAGGCTTAAAGTGGCAGCTAGTTTCTGGAAACGACCTTTATCCATCACCTGTGTCAGTATGGACTGGGACTTCAAAGAGGAGTCAGCAGATTCTCTATCCTTCATTTTGGAAGTTTTGGGTTTTATTTTTTTGTTAACAGGCTTAATTTTGTTCTCCCCAGGTTCTTTTGGCCGCCTACTCTTCCCAGGCTGTCCAATCACTAGCAAAATAAAAACAAGACGGCAATGTTACTGATTATAAAAAGGTTATATAGTCTTTTTTAAAAAAAATCTTCCTTTTTATCACAGAGTAACTAAAGTTTTGCTCTTCCTATAAAGGATTCATAAAAATGAATAAGAGTTAACTTCCATAAGTTTTTCAAGTCTCTGGGATGACCCATTTTCCTGGGGAAAAAAGAAAAAAAGAGAGCTTTCAACATGTGGAAAATCTATACTTACAGTTCTCATAAACAGACAAATATGTAAGGTATGAGAACTTTACAAATGGGAAGGGAAAGAAATACATTATTTCTATCTCCAGTTACTTTTGTCATTTCTACCTCATGTCATTGCCATTTATTAAGCAATGTTACACAAGTTCTCTGTCTTCGTAAGGATGTCACACACCTATCAATTCTGCATAACCTTTTCAAACACCATGCTACTGTAAGAGATGCATGAAGAAAAACTGGCAAGTGTGGAAATACATGACAATTTATAAAATATTGATAGTGATGCAATTTTCCTCTTTTACAGTAAGTACTGTGAAAATACAAATTGCTCTTCAGTCATTTGAAGGCAGTATTTAATTAATCACTTCTCTGTAACAGCCATTTATTTTGACAGTCCAGATGAAAACAGAACCTTATTTAGAGGCAAATGGTAAGATATTTCATTACCTGGAAGAGACAACAGGGATGCCCAGCTGCCTTTAAAAACAAAGCAAAGGAAATGGAAAGGAAAAGTGAGGTGTCTCGATTATTTTAAAAAATAAACAGATACAAATAAAGATATTCTCACTTTAACTGACAGCAGGAAGCACAGATCTTTTGTGAGATGTCCCCAGGCACCAAAATCTCCACTAACTGTGCCTGACAGCTAATTCACATTGAACACAGCTTTTCCACATGAAAATGCTTGGGTATTTTACTGTCCAAATCAATCAACAAGCTCCCTCTGGAATTAAAAATAGCCCTGTTGTATACTGAGTTAGCATGAATTAAAACTGGTATTGGCTGCAGTGTGAACAGCAGCACTTCCAGACTCCTGCCACTGATGGCTCCTGGGACGTTCCTCATACACAGGCTGAACATCTTGCACTGCTTCAGCTTTCCACTTCTCTAAGTCTATGCTGATGTACACCACGTCTCTTTTAAATGGCCTTGTAAGCACAAATTTTAAAACCAGGAAATTCAATGTGAACATAGGAAAATGCTTTTTACTGTGAGGGTGGTCAAGCACTGGCACAGGTTGCCCAGAGAGGTTGTGAAGTATCCATCTGCAGATTCAAAACACAACTGGACATGGTCCTAGGCAACCTGCTCTAGGTGGCCCTGCTCGAGCATGGGGTTGGACTGGATGATCCCAAGAAGTCTCTTCCAACCTCAGCTATTCTGTGACTGTGATCTCAGCATGCAGGGCAAGGCGGCCTGTGTAAGAGCATTTGCCTTCTGGTCTGACACCAACTGGAAAATAAACTGGAATACAGTACTGCTGTAGTTGTCTTAGTTTGCCCAATGCATTTTGAACTCTTTTGGACTCTTACGTAATAATTTTTTTTTTGAGAGGCACACATCCGGTTACTAAGGTAGATTCCCTCCCCCACCACACAGACAAACATTTTCCCCAGTTCTACATTATAAGTATGGGTGAAGTTGATTGAAAAGATGCTTCACTACCTCAAAATTAGAGCCACAAACTGAAGAGATCAAATAGGAATGCCTTCCAAAGATTATGACATTTTAAGATAAAGAGTAACATTTTACAGTTTCTGGAAGTGAGAGTGAAACAAATATTTATGTTTCTTCCATTCTTCTTCACACCTGTGATGCCACTGACCATGCAAAACTGACAAACTTAGGTGAATGACGGGAAGAGAATTTCAGAGAAGTGGTTGCTACCTGTTGTGGAAAACCATGAAGTAGGGTTTTTCTAGTTACTCAGAGCACATTACCCTAGTGAGTGACACAGTGCATATACTACAGGGACAAACTGTTGGTGCAGGAGCATTGTTTCCCTGCATTACATTAAGAAGGCTACAATGGGTCAGGGCAAATGTCTGTCTAGCCAGTATCTTCACGCTGACACCACCCAGTGTCAGATGTCAGCCAGGGATCAAGGTAACCCTCTCTGCTCCTTTGATACTAGTCTCCCAGCTTCCAAGAACCTTTAGCTCAAGGGATCTGTCAACCACAGTTGCCATCATGTTATTGTCCTTGGTGGATTTTTCCTTCATTGATTTGTCTGGTCAATTTTCAAAACTACACAAATTATACATAAATGATGTATAATCAGATGCCTCCTAGTTTTTGTATTAAGGGAATAAATATCTATTGTTTCTGCAATGACTTTCTCTGTGGCACTTGTACTTTTACAGAACTTAAGTGTCCTTCAAACCTATCCTTTCTGGACTGAAAAGTCCTACTCGATTAATTGCTCCTTGTAAAGAATATGCATCTTACAACAGTTCTGTTATATGTCATTTGGGTAATGGAAAGAAGACAAAAGCAGACTGTACACCAGGTTCAAGATATGGTCAAATCACAGTTGTACATATTAGTGGTGTCTTCCTTCCTGTCTAAATAGCTCATTACTTTTCAAGAAAGCAATATTAGGAGCCAACTTTCTCTAGAATAATCAAGTGTAACTCCAATATCACTTTCCTAACTAGGAATTATTGGTTAGAAATTCCTAAGTAGAAATCCATCAATGCACATCTACCAATACAAAATTTCAAGTCCTAATTTCACCGTCCAGTCTTCCAAAATGGAGAGATCCTTCTGCAACTCTTTACTGACAGTTTTCTTTTCGCAGATTTATAAATATGCTGAAAAGCATATGCCTTACAAGATCCTTGTGAAATTCAACTGGATAAACCCAATTTTATGCCCATATTGCAAAAACTAAAGAGTAACTCCTACTCTTTGTTTTCTATTATTTATTACTCCATGAGAGGTCTTCCCTTGTTTCACAGCACTTTGGTTCCCACGAAGTTTTTAACAACAGGCTTATCAAAAGCCTTTCGAAATCCAAGTACATCAAACAACCCATCCATGGTCACACTTTATAAAGTGCTTCAGAGAACTTCAGCAGATCTGTAAAACAAAACACACTTCTGAAGGGAAAAAGAAAAAAAAAAGGCAGCCATACAAAGCCATACTGACTCTTCTGTAATTCATGCCTACTAATTCACAAGTTCAAGTTACAGAATAAAGAGATCTGGTTTTGTGCCTGAATCTCCCTCAAAAATCTTAAAATACTGGTATATTTCCATTTCCCTGGAAAGGAATAGTTATGTAATAAGTTATGCACCTGAGGTAAGACTTCAGCAATTTCAGATTCAAATTTCTTTTGAGTCTTAGGTCTATATCACCAAATCATGGCACTTAAACACTGTTCATGTTGATGATTTTCTCTAAAGCCAATTCTTTTGGCATATTAACGAGACATGTCCTCTAATGATTCTCCTCATAGAGAAAGATTCTGTCCTGGAGCCTGCTATTACAGTGCTCAGTAGGATACTGCACTCAAAAGTTTCTGATATGCTTATCATGTCACCATTTTCCATTAAAACCTCCCTAAGCACCTCCATAGTAAACATGGGTGCACACAAATAATTAAGTTTTTAATTTTTTTACTTTCTGTAGATGTTCTTTCTTATCCCTCATTCCTCCCAGCCTTACAAATTTTGCTGCCGTCCCTTCCTGACCCATCCCAGCACATCAGAAGAAAAGGATTTATGTCTGGTTTTATTCCTTTTGCAAGCTGTTTCTGAAACTCTTTTCGTCTGCCTTATTCTGGTTTTTATATTTAACCCATATGTGAGTTAATGAGCCTCCTCATCTTATGTAATTTCCCCTTCTGAAATTAAATGCATCAGTTGTTTCTTTGGCTTTTATTATTCCTGCAAGAATATTAAAACTACAGCCTGGCTGTTCTAAAGCAACATCTGAATCCAATTACCTGAGTACTGCTCCAGATCAAGTCAAGAACTTCTGCTTTTCTCGGGGGTTCTCCGAGTAGCGGCTCTAAGAAGTCATAATTTGTGGCATCTAAACAATTGCACTTGGCGACACACTCTGACGTGTGTGATCCAGCCTATGCGAGGGTAAGCAATTCTTCCTTTTGCTTTTCTATCCAGTCCTTGCTGCCCCTCTGATTTTCCTTAACAGAGTGGTCATTCCCTCCATCACGTTGGGTAGTCAGCAACCAGGCTGGTTGTTCTCCACAGGGCTGGTATTTCAGTCCAGATGACTTTTACTGACAAAACCCACCAGGAATCAGATTTAACACTAAAGCTTTCTTCAACACATACTGCCACTTCTCCTTTGGGTTGAGCTATTCCATATTTCCTGTGTAATTTGTGCCCTAGCATTAGAAGGTTCCACTGGCAGGCCTGATAAGCCTTTTGGATAACCATTCCCATTTCAAACCAGCTGTTACAGTTCTCTGTTGTACTTTCCAGATTTGTTTGTAGAAGCACACAAGCTTCGGTCCAGCCACTTTTTTCTTTTTTTTTTTCTTTTCCCCCAAACCCTATTGAAATAAGATTATTTATTCTAACTACTCTTTGCCATTTCCACTACATTCTGCCAACCTCAATCCTGACATTTGTTTGAAGGCACACAGATCTTACAACCTCACCCCAAGGAAATGTATCATCCCAAACTGTGTGCTCTGCCACACCTGATACTCTGCCTTTAAGAAACTGTTAAAGACTCCCTTATGAAAGCTTTTCAATTTTAAGTGCCAGAAGCCTGGTTTTGATTTTCTCTAGCTGAAGTTTTTCGTCTGCGCACAAGCTCCCTCTGTTCCACGTTTCTGTATTTCGCAGTGAGTTTGAACACTTTCCTCCTATACCACACTCCCAGTTACACAGTGAGACTCTTGTCTGTCTGACCTTCTCTTAGGGGCATTTCAGGAAACACCATCAGAGCAGCTTTTATCTACCTACACAGAAATCCTAGTTTTGCCCCTCTGCTGCACCTCCTCGAGAGGTGAG